CCCCAAATCCTATCATCCCTTGCGGGCTGCGATAATAAATAAAAGTCTTTATTTCTCCCTCTCCCAAAGTTAAAGGGCCTTGCTCCCTCCCCGGGCAGCTGGAAGTGAGTTGTGGGCAGCGTGGGTTTGGCGGGCGGCCCTGCCTAGCGCACCGGCTCGCTCCCCATCGCATACGTATATATATATTTTATTAAACGTCAGCATTGACTTATGCGTCTCTTATCTCTGCTCTCTCCCCGATGTGTGCCTGCAGTGGGGGATTCAGCGAAGGAAGCTCGTAACATGGCGGATAGCGAGGAAGGCTTTGGGCTCCCGACCACGCCGGCTGACTCGGAGGCCAAAGAGCTCCAGGCTGAAGCCAAGCAGGACAGTCAGCTGGGGGCCACCAGCAAGTCCCCCACCTCGCCCCAGGCAGCCTTCACCCAGCAGGTAAGGACCCCCCGCTCCTTTTTTCTCCCCCTCTCTTTTTTTATTTTCCCTTTTCTCTGCATTTCTCCCCCCAAATATCAGCTTAGCTGGGTGGCTGCTGCTGCTCTGGGCGGCGATGAGCCGTTTTAGGCCCCACGGAAGTGAAAAGTCTCACCTGATGGTGGGCCTCATCCTGCTGTAGTGCTATTTGGGGTCGTGTTCAAGCGGGGAAGCGCAGGCGTGAATACTGGGGTGCGCGGAGGGGCACGCATGGAAAGGCACCCAAAATACCCGAGAGCGGCACCCGCTCGTGCAGCGGCAGACGCGCACCTACAGGCGTCCACGCGTGAGTGTACAAATGCACACGCGAACACGCACACAGACAGCTGCGTGCGCGTGAATATATTTGCTGTGCCCGTGCGTGTTTGTGTAAGATATAAACATATATATATATATACACGCACCCCTTGGATACCCGGGTGTAGAGATACAGCCGCGCTGGTGCACCCGCAGCTCTGCCCGCACCCACGCAACGGGCCCTGAGGAAGGGCAGGGGGCTGTCACGCGTGGGCACCCCCCGTAGCGACCCCGGGGTCCCCCTCCTTACCCCTCCATCAGCCCTCGCCCCCTCCCACCCCGGGGCGCCGCGTGTTGCCGGGACACGCGTGGGCTCCCACGGGGGACCCGCCGGCCGCAGCCC